CCCCAAAACCCCAAAACCCCAAAACCCCAAAACCCCAAAACCCCAAAACCCCAAATTCAATAAATTATATTGAATTTAAGGTATATAATATTTTTACAGAAATATGAGTTGGAACTACGTCAAGAATATCACCAAGAAACCTCGTGTTCTCTTCCCCAAAGGTGTGATTGGCAATAATCAGCAATTGGCTGATTTTACCAACCACACTGAAGAGAGGAAGGGAGGTGTAACCACTGGCAGAGCTTGGAGAGCAAACGAACTCAGACTTAAGAGTAATATCCTTCTCAGTTTTACATTCTTTAGGCAACTATGACCTTCACAAGCTATGGTACGTGCTGTTGAAAGAGAAGAACAGACTTCATGGCGATAGATTACTCGCATTACAGCTCAACCAACAGTTCGAGGTACACAATAATCTTAAGAAAATCCGTTTGAGCATGAAAAGGCTCCAAACAGTTGTTTCTGAAAGGAGAGAGCTCCGTGATAAGTACAGAAAGTACCTCGAAGAACAGTACATTCAGCAGAGAAAGAATGAAGAACTTGAGGAAAAGCTCCAGGCGGTATGTTTATTCCTGACCTAACACTTTAGAGAGGATTCGATACCTCTAAAATGGGTGAAATAGTCTATGACAAACACTATGGGTAGTCCTCTTGTCTTAAATCTAGTGCTAAAAAGCATGCTGCTAATTTCAGAGCAAAAATGGCGGAAATCGAAAAGGACTACCAAGAAAAGGTACAAAAACAGGAGGACTCAGACAAGCAGACTGTTCTAGACAAGGATGATATGAAGTTGCTGACTATTAATGAGCATAATCTCTCTGAAATGGAGACTATCAAAATGCACGTCAAAAACTTCTATCACATAGAAGACAAAGCTAAGAGGCAAATTTATGGCAAGATTCAAAGCACAAAGGCAACGCATGCCAGAGAAATATTCCTCAAGGAACTCAACCTTGTGGGATGGCAGTTTAAAAATAAGACCGCTAATCCAGATCCAATGAAGGCATCTCTAGAGGAGCTAAGTTAGTTTCAATCGCTAGCAACATATTTGGGGTTTTGGGGTTTTGGGGTTTTGGGGTTTTGGGG